CAGTTCTTTACGTTTGGATGCTCGTCATGCAACTCCAACTCAGCCTCTCGCCTCATTCTGTCCCCTCAGCGGCTTTTCTCACCCAGACAGTGTGTCTAGATGACACGACAGTGAAGTTTGAAATCTGGGACACTGCAGGTCAGGAGCGGTACCACAGTTTGGCGCCCATGTATTACAGAGGAGCACAAGCCGCCATCGTGGTCTATGACATCACAAACGAGGTGAGTCTGTACAAGCTCTGTTTCGAAAGGTGCACTGATGATACTTGCATGCATTCAGGAAGGCAAGATGAAACCTGGTTGCTTGCATCTGATTGCAGGATGATGTAAAGCGAGAGTATTAACTCATGTCACATGGTGTGTGTTTTGCAGGAGTCCTTTGCGCGGGCAAAGAACTGGGTGAAGGAACTACAGAGACAAGCTAGTCCTAATATAGTCATCGCTCTGTCAGGAAATAAAGCCGACCTGGCCTCCAAGAGAGCTGTGGATTTTCAGGTCACACTGTTACCCACTTAACAATCCTGCAATTAGTCTTTGGGTTTTTATTTCTTTTTTATCGAATCACCAATCATTTCATACCTGTTTGTTTCCTAAGAGAAACATTTCAAATATTCTGATTGCTTTGCAAAAAGTACAGTAACAGTTCAAGTGTTTTTGTTACTTCACAGCCGCACTCTAAGGTGTTAAAATATGAATTTATCTGCTGGAACAAAACAAGACTAACCAGGTCTTGTTTTGTTTTATTTAGCTTCATGTGTATGAAGCTAAATACAGGCCAATTCTGGAAGACAGCCTGGTAGAGGCAGATCATTTTAGATGGAGGAGAGGGTCTTATTATTTTAACTGTTAGATACATACTTTAAATCTCTGGAAAAGTGGCAACATAATGATAGAGGAATGTTTTCTGAAGAGGAGACAGAAAAAGTGGTCAGTTGATAGATAGAACCTGTGCCAGGTATTGAGTCGTAGAATAAATGCACTCCGCACATATTAGATTTTCATTTGTAACGTAGTTTGATAATCATGAATGATTTTCTTTCCACATTGACTATCCACATGTTTGTTGGTTTTTCACTATGGCTACATAATAACAGTAAACATGCAATGTGTGGTGATTGATGAATGGTGCCCTAAAAATATGGCCTGTGATAAATGTAAACAGCTTGGCTATAATTTCTTATTTAACTTTGGCACCTTACCACCGCTTTACTTTCTAAAATATCTATCCTGCATTAAGATGTTTAATAATGTGTATTTTTGAAGATTTTTGTGTAGCCCTCAAAATTCAGGCCACATTTTATGAACAGTTCAAATGTGGTCTGCAGACACAGGCGTTTGATGGAGATGGCACCCATTTTATCTTTTAGCTCAGAGAAATAAAATCTTTGTAAAATAGAAGAAACATTAGGCGCAACACAAATTGTTTCTCGTTTATTTTACCAGGTTTCTGCATTTATCTTTATTTTGGAGTTAATAGAACCACAAACATCCAACTGTGCTTTCAACTTGATCAGTTTGGCAATCAAGACAAAAAAGTTTGGATGCTGCTGGTCTAGCAGCGTATTCTCTACTTGTCTTTTATGGTAATGTGTCAAGCTGTGTTGAATATTCATGCTTCTTTTACAGGAAGCTCAATCATACGCAGATGACAACAGCCTACTTTTCATGGAGACATCAGCCAAGACATCTATGAATGTGAATGAGATATTTATGGCTATCGGTAAATAGTTCTTGACATATTACCTATTGATATGTTAAATCTAACATTATGTTTGTCAAAATATTTTTAAAAAATATCTATTGCTGGAGCTTTCTCTTACTAAAACAATTGGCATTTGTTTATTTTTGCTTCTTTGTTTTCTTATCTTCAGCAAAGAAATTGCCAAAAAATGAGGCTCATGCTCCAGGAGCTAACAGCGGTCGGACCCAGGGAGTGGACCTGACAGAAGCTGCTCAGCCAGCCAAGGCTCCGTGCTGCTCTACCTAAAATGAAGAACACAATTTTCCCTCCCTGACCTGTAAACTAGTAACTAATGTGGCCGACGCCCCCGATGCCACTGCAGCTACTAAAGCAACGTGTCCCCCCCTTTGTTTGAAACAGAAAAAGATGCCCTATATCCTCCCTCACACTTTTGTTTCTTTTTATCTCAGTAGCAAAGTCAGTGCCATTTCACTGATGTCTTTGGGGATCTGCCTCTTCCATTAAGGTTCTGCTGGTACCTGAAGACGCCGTCTAACCACTCTGTTTTACTTTACATTTTCCAGTTGATTGATGGATCAGTGATCTGATATTAGAAACCTCAGCTCATCCAACATCTTTGATAGGAGTTCAATTTTGAGGAAGGGGGTCACTTCCCTTTTCTGGTAATTTCTGTTCTTATTTCCACCAGTCTTCTGCTTTTGGTCATTTTTGGTAGAACTTTTTTTTGTTGTTGTTGGTTATTTAGAATATTTTTCTTTAAGTTGTCTATGCACATACGTGTGTATTTACGCGGGTTAAAAAAAAAGAAGAAGAAAATCCAACTGTGTTTTACTTTTGGTCTATAGTAGCACAAACAAAGCGACAAATGTTGGAGACAAAGAGCCACTTCTTGTGGCTCTGAGAAAAGAAAAGACGTTGAGTAGAAAGCCAAAAAGGAACCCTGAGATCTGTGTCCCTCTCACTTCTTCAGAACCTTTTATTCAAAGTTGAAAAGAAACCTTTAAACTCTTGATTCCCTCAGCAATCCACTGGCTTTCCCTTCATCAGATTAGAATTAGAGCGCGTTGTTATACATTTTTCTACCTGTAGTCTCCTCCGAGGGACTGTGCCTGCTTGTTTTTGCCCGCTGTGGCATTGTATCATGTTTTGCAGTATTTCTTGAAGCATCGAGTGTCCGCAAGAACCATTGCGACACTTGAAAGCCCCCTCCCTCCCCTCGGCAAGACAGAGAGGTCCTCTAAGGTACACATCAGCAACCGTTCATCTCTTATGCGTCGCGTCCTTTCGTTAATCCCGTGTCAACCGTCAAACTGGGGTTGGACGATTTTGTTTATGCAAAGAGCTTTTTTTTTTTTTCTTTTCTTTGCCTTCCTCATTATGTCAGTGTTGCTTGACCGCTGCAGGGTTTGCACAGGGTAAAAAAGAAACAAAAAAAAAAAAACAAAGGTGGTGGTTGTGAGTGGGATGCTGCAATATGTGAGGTCTCTTCATGTTTAAAGTGGAATTCTAATTATTTCACACGTGGATTAGGAAGTGCTTTAGACACGTCGGCGTGTCGGTATATTCGAACTTTGCCTGGGCTGGCTGGTGACTGATTTCAACTGTAGACTTATAGTCACATGCACATTACACACACTTGCACAATGGAATACACACACACACTCACTCTGCAGATCATAGACACACAGTCTGTTACACTTCATTCATACCAATGTTAAGCACATTATTTGTGTTTTTCTATGTCCCCACATGTGGTTACACACACACACACATTAGTTATCTAGACTATTTCTTGTCAATAACTTTTTTACTGGTCTTACTCATGCCTTGCACTAATGATGCTTATGAATTTATGTTGTCATAATCTCAGTCAGTGTGTTATAAATATATACATAATATAAATATATAAATAATATACTGTAAATATGGTGTTGCGGTGTAGTCTACTTTTTTTCCTGATTTTTCTAGTGACTAATGCTTGCTAGGGAGTTATCTAGATAATCATTAGGGGTTAAAAAAAACTGTACAGATAGCAGGAGAACAGCTACAGTTTGGGTTTGGAGTTTTGCTGTTTCTTTTCACAAAAATGGTTAAATTATAATCAGTGGTGGTCTATATTAATGTATGTAGTGTTATTAACAAATGTTAAAAAAAATAAAATTGCATTTATTTACACTTCTAAAATGTTATACCCAAGCATATTAGATTCTGCTTGTCAAAAAAATGACCTTTCTGTTGCCGTTTGTTTGTTGGTTTGTTTGTTTTTCTTGTTGGTATGGTTCATTTATATCCCAAGTACAGCTGAACTTCCACAGCCGGAGCTATTGGAAAATCCCCCTCCCCCCAAAAAAAAGGAATCGGGATAAATGAGATGGTCTGACAATCCGCAGCATTTCAGAAAGCATTGTTGCCGTAATGCAGGAACGAGAACAGATGTCAGGTGACCCAACAGGGGTGTGAATTGTATGTTTTCCCTTTTTTTTTCGTCAACACTTCTTTGCAACAGAACACATTTAAATGCAAGCATTTTACAGTACTGTTATGTAATGACAAAATACTGAAATAAATTTGATCATTTATCATTGTAGTTGGGCAGTTTCTGTCTGCACAAACGTTGCTGTGTTAAATGACGCATGGTTTTCACCGTTTTAGAACTGTAGACATTTAAAATCCTGCTCCCATTTCCTTTGCCAAATAACTCAAGATCATTCAGATTGGACAAAGGTTCAGCTTCTTAACTGGATTTAGTCAGGGCTTTGACTAAGTGTTTTGAACTGTTTGTCATCGTCCTGTTGGACCGTGAACCCATGCAACAGGGTTTCTTCCCCTCGACTCGGTTCCTGCTGAATAAAAGCATCGCAATGTTCTATCACTACAATGTTTTTGTTTTATAGCCTGTTTAAAACAACTTTGCAACTTAATCCCTGACCTGTGTTGTGCGTTTATTGGTCTAAATGTGTGATTACCTGTCTGTTCATCTGAGCTGGGGACTAATTAGATGTCTGGTAGGTTATTGGTTGAATTGGGTTTTATTGATGGGTAGCAGAGTCAGGGGTGGGAGGGATTTTTAGGTTTTTACTTGTCCCAACATTTTAAAACCATGTATCATTTTCCTTTTATTTCTCAAGTATTTCCTAATTAATATAATGGCCAATGTAATTGCATTGGGGGGATATTCAGTTCATACTTGTGATCTGGCTCCACGTTTGGTTTTTCCCTCCACCACATTTGACCTTGAAAATTCCCCTCGATTAGCTTTTTTTTTTTTTTTTGCGTCTTCTCCTCTCCTGGCCCGTCCAATCCGAGTCCCCTAGCGGAGGAAAATGGGCCTACAGCGAGAAATTGAAAATAAGGATGAGCGCCATGTCTGATCCTCCGCCTGTGGAATAGAGCGGACGGCAGGGCGATCGTGTTCCCCGGGCCTGCGGTCCCTTCGGGCTTTCGGTGAGCAGTCATGGCCGACAGCGTGGGGATTCAACAAGGTTCGCCGGCCGTCGGAGCCGCGGGCCTGGTTCCGGCCGCTCCCGGAGCCGCGGGGACGGAAGGATCCGGCGCCGCTGGAGGATCTGCACGCATCGCCGCGAAGAAGGCGCAACTCCGCTCCTCGCCACGGCCGAAGAAACTGGAAAAACTCGGGGTGTATTCATCCTGCAAAGTATGCACAGTTTACACACGGTAGACCTTTAGAGCGCTGCAGCTTTGACGGTTTAATCCGCACGAAGAGCTTGTTTGGGTCGGTTGCAATAGTTTCATAAATGCAAGCGCAGCAAAGGAAGCCATTGTCGAACATCAGTGTTTTTTTTTTTACCCCCCTTTTAAAAAAAATGCCTACATGCACAAACCGGTTGACGAAACGAGCAGTGCTATTTTAAGAAGTTTTAAGTGTTGCACTCGGGCTCTTCAGCAGCGGCCCTGTCGCTGCAAGCACCGTGTTTTTACAGCGCTGCCCTGGCTCTGACAAGGTGGGGGGTGGGTGAGCGTAAACATTGGCTCAGCTCGGCTCGTCTTTTTTTTTTTTTTTTTTTTTTTTGGAGTCGCGGGCTGCTAGCAGAGACGCGGCGTCTCCTCTGTGTGCCAGTGGCGCCGTTTCACCGCGACGTCACCGGGGCGTTTAACCGAGCCAGGGCCGCCTGACAGAACACATCTGTCGGCACGCACGGAGAAGTTTGTGTCGCTTATGCAGCCACGGTCCGCAGAGGGGCGGGGGGTGGACTGGGGTCTTTGTTTTGACAGGGTGACAGCTGCGGGGGTGGGCGGAGTTTGTTGTCGTTCCAGAGCGCATGCTCAGAACAGCCCAGCCCAGCTGACCGTGGTGAGGTTTGGTGCTACAGCATGAAGTTCAAACACGGTGATGCATTTCAGAGTTTTTCTGTAATCTTGATGAGTATACAGCTCATAAAAACACAAAATTTAGTTGCTAAAAAATGTGATGTCGAGAGGAAAAAAAAAAAAACAAAACTTAATACAAGACTCTAAAACCGACAATTACATTTAATTAAAAAAAAAAAAACAACTCAGTTCTGAAAAGTTTTTGAAGCAAGTTTTGTAAAGGCACATCTGGCTGAGGTTGCAGAAACCTGGTCTGCAGGAAAAGGACCCCAGTCACCTGAGGTCCAGTCAGATGTTCAACAGGGAGCGTTGATTTACTTGGAAAGTCAAATCCAAAACACAACCAAATAAGGAAAAAATAAATACAGAACACAGCACTTCATGCTGTCTTCTGCTCACTCGCTTTGAATTTAATTTTCCAGCAGGATTTCACTCAAACTGCCGAAAAGTACTAATTCATGCAGAAAGAGGCCCGAACAAGTACCCAGTGGATGTAAATGTGTTTACGTACTTTTCACAAGACCTAGATTTCCAAGGTATTCATTCTTATATAGCATAGCTTTGTTTTTTGAGAAACTCGATTTAAATAAGCTGTAAACCATGATCGTCAAAATTTTATAGAGGCTCGACTTACAAATTTCACTGCTTGAATTGAAATACCAAAAAAAAAAAACATCAACATATGAATGATTTCCTTTATTAAAATGTATCTGATAACTGCACTGGCTTCTGTTCCTGACTCTACTGATTCTAGTCACGTTTTCCACAGGCCGAAGGAGCCTGCAAATGCAATGGCTGGAAAAGTCAAAACCCGCCTCCGACGCCTCCTCAAACTGACCAGCAATCCAACACAGTGAACTTGCAGGAACCTTGTCGGAGCTGTTCTCACACATTAGGTACTGAAGAAACGCACACAAAAAACACCTACAGCTCCTTTCAGTGTTTTCTTTGCCAACAGATTTCTCTTTCGTCCTCCTAGGTGATCACGTGACCCATCTTGAAAATGTCTCAGAGGAGGAAATGAACAGACTACTAGGTATTGTTTTGGATGTGGAGTATCTCTACACCTGTGTGCACAAGGAGGAGGATGCTGACACCAAACAAGTCTACTTCTCCCTCTTCAAAGTAACCTACCGCCCACCTCATCCTTACTTTTGAAGGCATTGCACAGAGGCGAAACAACACATTGTTCCGTTTCCCTGCAGCTGTTGAGAAAATCCATCCTGCAGATGGGTAAGCCGATGTTGGAGGCACAAGAGAGTCCGCCGTTTGAAAGGCCCAGCATTGAGCAGGTAAATCAAGTCTGGAAAAAAAAAAAGAATTAATGGCGTCACGTCACTGATCTCTCATTGTTCAAAAAGGGAGTGAATAACTTCGTCCAGTACAAATTCAGCCACCTGCCGTCAAAGGAACGACAAACCATCATGGAGCTGGCCAAGATGTTCCTGAATCAGATCAACTACTGGCAGCTGGAAACGCCCTCCCAGAGACGCCAAAGGGTGCCCAGTGACGACGTGGTGGGATACAAAGTCAACTACACCAGGTGATATCAAGCAGACTTAAATTCACCAGCGCCGCGTGATTTTTTTTTCCCCACGTTCTAAAACGCGCGCCTGTTTGCGCGCAGGTGGCTCTGCTACTGCAACGTGCCGCAGTTCTGCGACAGCTTACCGCGCTACGAGACCACGCAGATCTTCGGCCGGACGCTGCTGCGCTCCGTGTTCACTGTGATGAGGAAGCAGCTGCTGGAGCAGGCCAGACAGGAGAAGGACAAGCTGCCTCCCGAGAAACGCACTCTCATTCTCACACACTTTCCCAAGTAAGTGCAATTTATGTAAAAGTGTGCACAGGAAGAAAAAAAAAAAAGAACACTCACGCTTCTGCACCACAGATTTGTGCACATCCAATGGTATTCACAAAATGGCCGACAGCGACAACTCAGTCAGTTTGTCTTCAACTTAAAAGCTGCATCGTATAAGTTTGAAGAAATTCCTCTGTCGTGCCTGCTGATAGCATGTGCTTGTTCTAAAATGAAAACGAGCACTTTCTTCTTTTTTTTTAATTTTTTTATTTTTTTATGGCGGTTGGCAAGCAACTTGTTGATGCGCATTACCGCCATCTACTGGAATGGAGTGTGGATCGGAATTCGTACTTTCTTCTTTGATTTCCAATTTTGACTTCCAACGATTCACGTCCTGCTAAAGCGCACCCACTGGCGGTTGAACGAAAACTCCACAGAAAAGCGCACCGGGCTACAAGCCGCATGGTTGAAAGCGTGGGTGGGGGGTGTGGGGGGAGTAGTGGCTTATAGTCCAAAAAATACTGTGATGTCTGAAAGTGGGTCAGAAAAGGATTTCATCCAAAAGTATACATACATGTAACCAGAACATACAAAGCCAATAATTGTATTTGATGCAATTTGAAAATAGCAGTGCAGTTCAGTGTTGCATGTACAAACATCTTTGAATATAGTCATGTTCTAGCTGCGTTTTCCTCTCTCTCAGATTCCTATCAATGTTGGAAGAAGAAGTTTACAGTCACAGCTCTCCCATCTGGAGCCAAGACTTCTTGGTGGGAGCAACAGGAGGGCAGATTCCTGTCCACACAGGTGATGCAAACCCTCACTGACACATTTGTGACTGATATGGTGTTAATATATGGGCAAAAAGTGACACACACAATATATCTGTTCGTATTTATTCTGCTATTATCTATGCAGTGATAAGTGCTCCCCCAGTCGCCAGGCCCGTATACTACAGCACCAGTCCCGTGTCAGTGGACCCGTCCACTTGTGGAAGTGTGAGCCCTGCCAGGAAACCCGCCTCCGTTCTGGAGTCAAACCCAGGTATCGCAGAAAAAAACTTGCAATTACTCAAGTTGTCCCCTTAAATAATAAAATGGCACCTTTCCAGCTGATAATTGTCACGTCTGAAAATTCGTTCACTTCGCATGTTCAGTTTGTCGTCGCAAGGTCGTATCACGGACCAAAACGTGAGGCAAACGACACAAATAATGCTAACGTGGCTGGTGACGCTGAGCTCACTGTGAGCTACCTCTAAGTCCTGGTCGATGTCTGCCTTTTCCGTGAAGCAAACAACACAGAAGAAACATCGGGATTTCAAAGAGCGCTTTGTACCGTGTCTGTCTTGGTTTCACAGTGGGAGAAAAGCGAAAAGCCTCAGAGCCGCTTCACCATGAAGAGAACAAGAGACCCAGGGTGGTAGGGGACATCCCCATGGACCTCATCAATGAAGTCATGGCAACTATCAGTGACCCTGCCACCATACCAGAGGTAACCTTTAAATGAAAGCAGAGGGTAGGAAAAAAAAAAAAAAAAAAGGAAGCGCATGGATTATGTAACATTCTAGAATCAAATTTATTGAATATGGCTGCACTGTTTTGTAAAAGTCAGTTATTTCTTAAAGTAGGAGTTAATTCCCTCACTGAGTAACTTTTTAAATTAAAGTTTGGGTTTTAGGCTACAGCAATTTAAGAAATTATTTGATTTATTATTTTTCTGTGACACTAATGACTCAGGTTGCTGTATTTGCCTCACATTCTCAGCGTATTCAACCCTACGTTGCCAGCTGCGTTAAAGCATCATATAACAATGTTAAGTGGGGTTCTGTCCTTAATAATTTGAGGACGACATATGTTTTTATGATGGCAACAGGATGATCATGGGTCTTTTACACCTCTCTCCTGGTCAGACGAGTCTGCTGTCTGCTCATTCTGCCCGCGATGAAGCCGCCCGCCTCGAAGAGCGGAGAGGAGTTATCGAATTCCACGTCATCGGGAACTCGCTCAATCAGAAGCCCAACAAGAGGATCCTGATGTGGCTCGTCGGCCTTCAGAACGTCTTCTCCCACCAGCTTCCCCGGATGCCCAAAGAATACATAACCCGACTGGTCTTTGACCCGTGCGTATTTCTGACTTGTCGGTTTATTATTGTTACCCGTGTTCAGAAAGGCATTAGGGTAATGAGGTCGCCCGTGTCCCTTTCCTGGCAGGAAACATAAAACGTTGTCTTTGATAAAAGATGGCCGGGTCATTGGAGGGATCTGTTTCAGGATGTTCCCATCGCAGGGCTTCACAGAGATTGTATTTTGTGCTGTCACATCTAATGAGCAAGTCAAGGTGAGAACAGTCTCTCAGGCATTTCACTTCCTGTTGTTTATCTGTAGTGCTGTGAAAAGTATGCACAATTTATTTAATTTTTTTTTTTTTTTTTTTTTGATTGTGGCATTTTGGCCTCACTTAAATGTCACAATCATCAAATTTTAACATCAGATAAAAGTAATTAAGTAAATACAAAATGCAGTTTTCAGATGATTATTTTAATAAATTACTTTTATATAAACTGTCTATAAAGATGAAGACAGCTTAAAAGATGTGAAAAAGCAACACATTCTGCCGAAATATAATGGTATTATAAAATAGATGAGAAAACTTGGTTGACAACTGGACGGGTTAAAAATGACTCCTGTAAACCACACGGAGACATTTCTGACAAATCCACAGTTTCTGGACTTTATTGCGATTAAAATGTGTCGTAGCATCACAACTAAAATGGCCGTTTAAAATGACTGTTGAGCACCGATTATTGCAAATAGTTGGGTGTAGTTCTTGTGTCACACAGCTTTTTCACATGCAGAAAAAAAATGTACTTGTCTTAAAACATCATTTTTCAAAGCTGTGTTTTCTGATCTTTGGTGGCAGGGCTATGGGACCCATTTAATGAACCATCTAAAGGAATATCACATAAAACACGAAATACTCAACTTCCTCACTTATGCTGATGAGTACGCAATCGGGTACTTCAAGAAACAGGTAACGGTCCATCTAGATGAAGAGATGTAAATGGCATCAAATTAGTTTTAGAATTGATCGTTTTGCTTTTATCCTTCTCAGGGTTTTTCAAAGGACATTAAGGTCCCCAAAGCCAAGTACATGGGCTACATCAAGGATTACGAGGGAGCCACACTGATGGGCTGCGAGCTCAACCCCAGCATCCCCTACACAGAGTTCTCTGTTATCATCAAGAAGCAGAAGGAGGTACCCGAGTGCTTATTTGATAAGGTCTTGCGTCTCGCTCCGTTCTCAAACTCAGCCTCTCCTGTGTCTCCGTCAGATCATCAAGAAGCTGATAGAAAGGAAGCAGGCCCAGATCCGAAAGATCTACCCGGGACTGTCCTGTTTTAAGGACGGGGTCCGGCAGATTCCCATCGAGAGCATTCCCGGCATACGTACGTTACTGAGAACTTAACGGCACACACTATAGAAATATAAGCCGATATTAGTCTGTTCTGAATGCTTCGAGGATATTGAATGTTTTTTTGTTTTTTTTGGTTATATCAAAAGGTGAAACTGGCTGGAAGCCTGCAGGAAAGGGGTAAGAGTGCTGGAGTTCACCTTTCAGTCCTTCAAAGAATAATTTGTTGAATAGATTTTAATAATATAAATAAATTTAGACAGATGAAAGCAAGATATTTAAACTAGGACAAGAAACAGCAGTCAATAATTTATTCACTCTTTAATTTTTATTTTATTTTTTGCTGTAGGAAGGAATTGAAGGACCCTGACCAACTTTACAGCACATTGAAAACCATTCTGCAGCATGTGAAGGTAAGGCACCATCACGGTTCCCTTCTAATGACAACATTAGAAGGGTCAGGTTGCCTTGGAAAAGCTAATGTAAGAAAACGGATGGCCGGATTGATGGTTTGATTGATTGAAAAGTTGAATGAGTGGATGGACCTTTTCTTTCTTTTTTTAAGAAATGTTGGTAGTCAAATCTGACAGAAAATATAGTCTGCTCTTTCTATCCATACTTTTCCAGACCTGGAAAGGTTTCCAACAAAACGTGGGACAAAGTTAATGGGACAAATGATTTATTCCTGTAACATAACTTCCACAAAGGGAATGCTGGGAGTGATTTATATTGTAAGAACGGCTGTTTGTCTCCTTCTTTTTCCTTTAGTCAGGAATATGTAAGTGAAACAACTGCATTCCTGAAATTCTCAATTTCCCTTTGAAGATCAAGGCTGGACGTGACTTAAACGCATCTTTGTTCTGCTCCACCAGTCCACTCTGTGTCATCTCCTGTTCATCTGATTAAAGATTGAATCTAAATCTTAGAGATTTTGTGTTTTGGAGAGCGAAATGATTTGATCCTGCTTGTGTACAGCTCTAACAAAAGCACAAAACATATTATTTCGGACCAGAAGCCTCACCAAAATATAAAAAGAAAACGTTTTGCTGTGTGTGTGTGTTTCAGAATCATCAGAACGCCTGGCCTTTTATGGAGCCTGTGAAGAAAACAGAAGCACCTGGCTACTACCAAGTCATTCGTTTCCCCATGGGTGTGTATGGCTGTGGTCTGTTTCTATAAATATTACACACTCATATGAAGTCATTTTTCTTCTTAGCTCTGTTTTTGCTTTTCAGACAGCAACAACCTCTGTAAACACAAAAAGCGGTTTTCTAATTGAATTTATTAAAGGTGAAAGCTTTCCAAGGCAACCTGGCCTTATGTGAAAAGAATAAACTGGCTCTGCTGCTGCATGCAGCAACAAAACATTTGCAGCAACTGGCAATGAGTTTTTTTTTAGATCTATATGAGGTAGCCCACTGTTCATAGAAAAACAAGCACGAATGAAATGTCACGCCACGACGTCTCTGTCAGGTTAAACTCCAGACTTTGACTAAGCCAATTCAAAGCCTTTGATTATTGAGCCATTCAGAGGCGGTGCCCTTCAGGTAGTCGTTCTGCCTGACGTACATTTAAGGCCACAAAATGGTGGTCAAACATTCGCCTTCCAGATTTTCTGCTAGAGAGAAGAATGTATGGTTCCATCAGTTAGAGCGAGTTGTCCAGGTCCAGAAGAAGCAACATGTCTAAATGTAGATTTAATGCGCTTTATTTTTTTGAAATGCTATTCCTGTAACCCCATAAACAACTTCCAAAAAGTTCAATTTTTTTGTCTCATTGATCCACAGAAGCTTTTTCCAAAGTCTTGGGCATCATTGAGATTTTTGGAAAATGTGAGATGAGCCTTTTAGGATCTTTTTTGGCCGGCCGTGGCTTTTAGCTTTTGGAATGACCAAAAATAACTGATTATTCCCAGGCCCTTATATTTAAACCATAAACCGTGACCTAACAAATGGTAAATTAACTCAACTTATGTTGAGCTTTTCAAGTCGTGGACAAGAAAAACGCTTTGGGCAAACACCCAGCAGCACTCACTATGTGCAGACCAGTTGACAACTTGGGGCTACGTACTTTACCAAAGACGATATCAACACAGAGGAATCTACAATCCAAGTCACAATTTTCTGGTTGATGAATGTTCATGTAAATGACTTCGATTCCAGCTTTCCACAGCCATCTTATAAACCCTGTGAAGCTTCAGATGTTCTTTAGGTGTAATGTTGATTGTCAGGTTGGTTCACCAGTTTCACGTTTCCTCAACTTGTGGATAATGGCTTTCTCCGTGGTTTGCTGGAGTCTCAACGCCTTAACAATGGATTTGTGACTCTGTCTAGACTGCTGAGATGCCAATGTCTTAATCATCTGTTATTGAATTGCTTTAGATTGGGGCGTGGTGGATTGCCTTTTGAGATATTTTGACCTAGTGTATGTTGTCAGACGGGTTCTGTTCAAATGACTGCTTTAGTCTACAGGTGTGGTAAGTTCATCTTAATTCAGCTTTACAAAAAATATGTGATAAATCACATTGATTTAATGACCGAACAAGTCAAGTTTCTATGTGTAGCACATTTCAGCAGCAAGGTAAAAAAAAAATTGACATAAACAAGAAAACCCTTAATTTGATCTAAGGTTAAAGTTGTTTAACAACTTTTTAAAGTTTCATTTTGTTTTCACCCACAGACCTGAAGACGATGAGCGAGCGCCTGAAGAGCAGGTACTACACGACGCGGAAGCTTTTCATGGCCGACATGCAGCGCGTCTTCACCAACTGCCGCGAGTACAACGCTCCGGAGAGCGAGTACTACAAGTGTGCCAACATACTGGAGAAATTCTTTTACACCAAGATCAAGGAGGCAGGCCTCATCGAGAAGTAGACTAAAGACGAGAGGTTTTCCTTTCAAGAAGCCTGGCGCGGGTTGGGTTAGCGGGTAATGCAGAAGACAATAAAATAAGAAAAGGATTGTTGATTGTGGAATTGGTAACAGGATCATATCTTATGTTTAATGCATGCTGGCCTACGTCCTGAATCAGTTCTTTGTGTGAAAGATTTGCCCAGAGGGATGTAGACACTCAAGAACGGAGACTATTTCTGATTGTAAAAAAAAAATAATAATAATTTTTTTTTTGTGCATCCCCAAAAATTGAGAAAGCTTCCATCATTTGTTTTTAAAAATTAATAAAACGTTGACAGCTCTTTTTTTTTTAAACAGATCTAACTTTATCCTCTCTGTTTACACAGCCTCTTAGTGTCTACCTTTCTCCTCTGTTGACTCAGGTTGTCATGTGAAGGAGCCAAATGTTTGATGGATTGAGTTTTTAAGAAAAGTGTTTCCTGTGAGAAAAACAAGCTGGAGCTTCCCTGTCTAACTGCAGCTATGAGCATGTACAGCACTAAGGTTCAAGTTTGTCTGTGATGAGTTTATCCTGCCAAAAGAGGAGTATAACCTTTAAATTTTGTACATATTTTAATCATCTTGAAGCACCTATGCCCAATGTATATTTTAAATATATATACCTAAAGTACATTTCCCCCATTAACCCACAAAAGGGCAGTTCGACTATCAAAATGCACTTTCCTCCCCCTCCAAGTATTAACAGGAATTATTGCCTATTCTTTCTTCTACTTTTGGATTACACTGTCAACTTCAGAACTACTTTAATTATCTAGAGTTTATTCTTATTTATGTGCTTTAATTCAGAAGAATTATGTTTAAGACAAGGTCTTAATTTATCTTATTTTTGTCCTGCAGACGGAGATTGATAACTTTATACTTTGGAGATAAATGAAAAGATTGTGCAATACAATGTAGTTTTGCTGTTTTGTAAAAAAGGTGTTTGTACTTTCCAAACTTTGGGAAAAATAATCTTTTTTAATATGTCTGTAAAAATATATATATATTTCATGCTCTTTGTACAATTGGTTTTATTGACCTAGAATTAGCCTATTTTGTAGACTAAATAAAACAAATGTGAGGCTAACTTGGTGTTTTGTGACTTTGTTTTGAAAAGTTTCACCCATCAAATCATTTGAGTGGTTTTAAAAGTTTATTGTCACATACAGTACAATAGAGAAGTAACAATACACAGATGTTGCAGAGCATAGAATTAAAAAATATTATAATCCAACCATTTTTGGAGAAAATCATCTACATTTCTATGGAGATAAAAACAAGAATAAGGGAATTTAAATCAAGAAAAAATTGATCACGATTACACTATCACAAAGAAAACCTTCAGACATAAAAAAATGAGAATCCTCCGGGAAGCTGCCTTCAATGACACCCAACAAAAGACTCGTTGTACTTCTCAAATGGCTGCTGGCTGCAAGAGTTCCTGGATTTCTGCACTGACCTCCTGCCAGACTTCTGCTTGAAAATGGGAGAGCGAAGAAACTGCAGGTCTGTAAACTTGTCTCCACGCCGAAGTTTTCTGTGAGGAAGTTACAAAACATCATTGTTCAGTCATATTTTAGTGAGATAATAAGTGAACTACTGAAAGGACTTACGCATTTAACGACGGCTCCTTGTAGTCGACGGTCATGGTGCAGCGGCGTTTCCGTGCGGGAGCGTCGGAGCGGCGTGGGCCGACGCAGGAGAAATTACGATAGGCTGCAGGGGACATATTGGTCACGTCACACAGACTCAAGCCCCGCCCTGCTGACCTTACACCAACCCCACCTGTGGAAATGCGAGGAAAGATGTGATGGAATGGAAATGGAAAAAAGTAAATTGGTGCAGATTGAATCACATACAAACAAAAGTGAAGAATTAAAGCCTGGAGCTCAATAAACCCAAAGATTAAAAAAAAGAAAAAAGTTTTTTCCCCTTCCGAGAGGAAGAGTTGAGTATAACTTACGTTTCTGGCATGTTTTGATCCTGGGTGTTTGGCTCGATAAACGAGAAGCATTTTCACAAGACGGTTCTCCAAAATTGGACAGGACGGTATCTATTCTCATCATCTCGGCCTCGACCAGAGGGCTGACAGCAGGGAAACCGTCCTCCATTCCGTCCTTCTGAAGTTCTGAAAGAAACAACTTTTAGGTTGGTATAAATCCACATAGCCTGCTCCCACAAACTACAAAAACAAGAAAGACCTACTAAAAATTTTTTAAAAAGCTCATTTTTATGATGCAGTGAGTTAAAACAAAAAATCTAATATTTCCAGATTTCCAGTTTTTTTTCCCCAGGAAATTTTTGCTCTAAGATGCAAAGCAGCTCAAATAATCTATAATAGAAATTTTTATAGCAGTCAAACTTTTAACTACAGAAGCTGCAAAAATCACAGACGGTAAAAGAAGGTAAGAAGAAGAGATGGAGGGATAGAAAGTTTTAAAAACTTTTAAATAGGGAACATTTCAGATTTCTCCACACTACACGAAACTTCAGCTACGTTCAGTGAAAAATATGAATAAATGAACCAGCTTTTACTCACTTTGGTGACTCTCTTCACCCTTTCCAGAATGTGCCACCTCCAACTTCGACTCCTCGTCCCTAAAGACTAATCAACAGAAAAATGGACATTTTCAGTGGTACCAATGAAACAAGGAGAAAAACACTAAGCTTCTACTGTGAAAACTCACCAGAAATCTTTGGGGTGCGAGGGATGTTTTCCTTTTTCTTGACAATCATTGAGCGCCGGCCTCTGCGAGTGGTGACGACTTTGGTTTTAACAGGAGAGGACCGTCTCCCTCTGGTCTTCTGAGGGACGTACAGGCTGTCTTCCGACTCTGAGGATGGCGATGATGAGCTGGTTTCGCTCTGTTTGGGAACAGCTGCCGAGTCTTCAGCTTGCGTCTCTTCGCTAATGGGTGTCGCCGGCTGATTCTCCTCGACTTTCGCCTTGAACGGCGTGATGTGGACAGTTTCCTCACATTCAAAGTCAAACGTATCGTTGAATCCCAGTGACGTGTTGAGCTTGTTGCTCTGAGGCGGGGGAGCAGCTTTTCCCCGTGTGGCCGCGCGCTCCCGACTCTTGGAGCGAGCTCTGGGTTTGGGATTCTCCCAAGGCTTCTTTAGCGGGACCCGATCGGGTTTGCGGCCTCTGTCGGGTTTCCGTGGAGCTGGTTCAGGTTTGGAGCGAGGCTGCTGGGTTTGTTTCCTGCCAGGCTGTGTTCTTTTGGGACGGACTGGCTCAGGTGTTGAGTGATGCAACTCCTCTGTGTCACTGACATCCGCCGCCTCTGGTTCTGGGTGGTTCTGATTCAGACCTGAACTCTCACCGTGAATAGGGCTTGGTAATACGGTCCTAAGATCAGTAGCCAGGTCTGCATTGCTCAACCGCCGTTGTTCTTGCACGCGCTCAGAGCGCCTCCTGCGCTCTGAGCAGGAACCGTGCCGACGCCTCACACTCACCGTGGATGGCAGAGCAACCTCTTTGTCACAGCTAATGTGTCTGTTCTTTTTAGAAAGAGGGGAGTCTACGGAGAAATGGTTTTAAAATGAATACAAAGGTTTTAGTATGTTGAACACGAGTTGCTTTAATTAATACAGCAGCAATTTCCAGCTAATAATTTATAATAGTAACTCAACGAAAACAAAATGAACCAAAAATTACAATAAAAACACTCAATTTTGCAGGTGCCTTTTCTATATTTTCACTCTAGCCAAGAATCAAAATCAGAGATGAGTGATCCAATATTAATATCTGAATTGGTCCCAAAATTGGAAAAAAATAATAATTCTAGAGTGAGTATTGGTGAGGATGTGCACGACCCATAAGATCAGATGCAGTCAGTCTAATTCTATGCTTTGTGCTCTTAGTGATGTTATGATTTATTATTTACTTTACTCAAATTTAGAATCCCTAATATCACTTTCTGAACCACATGAAAAAAGGTTTGCTGCAGTTTATTTTTTTATAAATTGTTTTTATCGGATTCTGTTTGTTTTACATTGGCTGCTTTACTCCTAATTGAACTGACTGAACAAATAAAAGTTGAGTTGTTTGTGCACGTTTGACCAAAGTTGTGAAACTATTGGTGTATTTAAGTTTACAGTAGAGGTGCCGAGTTGTCAAATACATTTGTAATTGAGAAAGATTTAAATTGTGTTTAAAAGAAACGTTTTAAGTCAATCCAGCTGTTTTTCTGCAGAGGATCATATCGGCCGATACTAAATGTCAGATATCTATATTAATATTAGAAGTTAAAAAATGAGAGGATCAGCTCATATCTAATCTACACAACAGCAAATAATTATACAGAAAGCAATAATCCTTGCACAAAATGTAAACAACAGATAAATCTACCTTAAAAAAATAAAATAATGAAATACCAGGACAAATTGGTGAAGTGTCGCACAAAGAGAGCTGATCAAGCTGCTGACTGCTGCGCTTCCTCCTGAGATTTAAAACAAAACAAATGCCAACAATAAATGCAGGATGAATGACGTACAGCAGGGGTGCTCAAAGCATCGGCCGGTGACTGAGAAGCTGCTGTATGTCTAATGCAAAAAAGAAAACACTTCTGCATTTTCAACTCACCTGTCCGAATTCTGAAGGTTTGGGGTTTCCTGTTGGATCCCTGTTGGTTTAGCCTCCATCAAAAACATAAATAAATGCAACATTGAAAACACATAATGTACATAATATAAACGTAAAAAGTGTACTGTGATATCTGGATACCTAAATAACACTGTGGATAAAAAAACAAACAAAAAAAAAGAAGTATTTGAACAAGAAATGGGCATCATTATCTGAGAGTGTACCTGTAAAGCACTTGCTGCCAGCGCCTCCTGCTCCTTGAGCTTCCTCTTGAGCAGAAGCAGGTGAAGGAAGAGGGCTTGCTGCTCACGCTTCAGCTGCAGGATCACCGCGTTGGCTTGCCTCACTTTCTCCTTCTCAGCTTGCAAGGCCACAGCCAGCGCTGTATTATTCTGTTGCACGCCTTTAAGGATGGTGTGTGTTGAACTGGATGCTGAGAGAAAATAGAAACACATAATAGGATTTTTACAAATTTATTTATGAAGCACATAAAAAATATCAAGCTGTCTCAAAGTGATGAATGAAAGAGACACAACCAAGAGATAACACAGATACGAAAACACTCACATAAAATAGAACGCAGACAATAAATAGAGATGTTCAGTATTTGGTTAGAAGGTTCATATAAGAGATATA